AACTACGTACTCCTTTACTTCAAAGGACAATGTATTGTTTAATTTAAAATTTAAAATGATCTTTAATAATTTGTAAAACTTCTCCTTAATTTAAGCCTTGTTCAAGAGAAAGATTATTGTTTAATTTGAAATTAAATCATTTGTGGACCTTTCTCCTCAAACTCTCTTTAAGGAGAGCTAAATATTTGATGGTGGGTTGATGTGATGTTTAGTCATTAAATGTTTGTGACGATCATTAATTTAGAAATTATAAATTTAAAATTTGAAATTGCATTTATTAAAGTTTGAACATTTTCTTCATAGATGAGATGCCAACAAGTTAGGATGAGGGAAAGAAAGCTCTCTTGGATAAAATAATCATGATTTATATTGCTGATATATCATAAAAAAATTATCTTGATTGGACATGAATATCGAGGCAAAAATCAAGTTGGAAACTTCAAAAATTAAATCGGGGATCATTTGTACTCCGTTTTTAGTAAACTTATAGTTGAACTGAGCGTCTCGAAAATACAAATCCAACGACACCAAATTCAACTCAATCTGAGCCCAAATGTGTCTGAATCTAAGACCTGAAGCGTTATTGGAAAGTTCAATCCACAATTTAGATTATCAAACAGTTTTCAAACATGGCATGCTTATAGTCGAATCGAGCGGCTTGACTAGACGAATCCAACAAGCCCAAGATCGCTGAATTCCGATATTATTAAGACATTCAAATGTCTGACGAACGGTCCATGATCAAGGGATTCAATATCGGCCGTCTATCCAAATCACTCCCCATTTGCCCTTGATCCTCCTCCTATTTACGGGTCATGCCATCCTCAAAATTATAAATAACCCCTCATTTCTCTTAAGAGGGGACCCAAGCAAGAAGAGAAGAGAGGAGGATAAGAGAAGAAGAGGAGGGAAGAAACTACTCCTCGACCACCGCCGGAGTTCCGCCCGATTTTCAAGTGACACCGGAGTTCCGTCCAACTTTCAAGTGACGCCGAAACTTCGCCCAATTTCCAAGTGACGCCAGAATTCTGTCTGATATCCAAGTAACTCTGGAGTTTTGCTTGAATACCATCTAATGTCAGAGTTCTCCCCGGTTGCTGACTAACGTCAGACTTCTACTCGACGCCTAACCTCCGCTCGTCATCAGATTTCTACTCAAGGTCAGACTTCTGCCCGTTATCGAAGTTTCATCGGACATCTATCTGATGCTGGATTTTTGTCCATTGTCGGACTTCTCCCTAACGCCATCCTTCTGACCTCCATCGTCAGACAATGGTCTTACCGACCTCCGTCGCCCGCCGACTACGATCCTTCCGACTTACATCACCCATCGACTACGGTCTTTTCGACCAAACGAACATGTCAACAGTGACTTTTTGTATTCTCATCATGTACTACATATAATGTACATCAAGCTAAGACCTTCCCCCCTAAGGAAGGGCCTCATTTGTAATCGACTGCAAATATTAGTGGATTCATTCAAACTGGGCTAGGCTCCGTGGTTTTCTCGTTTTCAAGGGTTTTCCACATAAAAAATTTGGTGTCTCATAAATGCTACACCCTCTCTCTTATCTGATTGCACGTCAGATTTTCATACAAAGTTAAGACGTTAAATTTTATATTTCTCTATCGACGCGAATACTCCATGATGCAACAATTGCCATTCAAGAAGATGAGAGGTGTCCATATTGTGGAGTAGAAAAAAAATGTAGAATTTGTAGGAATTCCTCTAGCAAGGTTAAACCATGCTTTTATTTATTTCACTAAGGCTTTGTTTGGAATAGCTTTCTTACTAATTTTTAAAACATATTTCTAGCATAAAAATGTCTCGAATAAAAAAATTTTATACTAAAAAATTGTTTTAGAAATCAGTTAAAAAGCCGTCCCAAATTAGGAGATTAGGCCTAAATGATAGAATCATAGAAAGGCTTCATTTGAGACAACTTTTGACCTTTTTTTTCGCTACTTTTAAATTATTTTCACATTAAAAAACTTTTTAGAACGTAGTAAGAAAACTATCCCAAACGAAGCCAATCTTAACGATATTTCAAGATAATTTTGTTGCTTCTCAATCATAATTTAACATTTTTGAGAATCATTTAAAATATTCTCTTACTTTGTGGAAACTAAAATAATAATGATAATTGCTTAACCCTCTTTCATCATAAATATGTTGCTTAAAACTTGCTTCATTATTCTATGTCAACTCTCATCTCAACTGGATCGATTCAAACCAAAATTTGATTCAATATTCAAGTTGTATTCAATCTTCGAGCTAAAATCATATCCCTATTAAGAAGAAACACAAGAGAATGTAAATATCTTAATTTATTTAAGGGTGATTGGTGAAAAAATTAAATTATTAATGCAAAAGAAGCCACTAGGGAAAGTTTAGTGAATTTTTTTTTTTTTTTTATCACTAGAAAAAATTTGAATCTAATAATAATCTTTCAAAAAGGGTTTCATCTATGTCATCAAAGTAACGAGTGACACAATAAGACTTCGTTTGAGATAACTTTCTTACTATTTTTTAAAGTAATTTTTAATTACAAAAGTTTTTTGAACTAAATTTTTTTATATTTGAAAGCTACTTTAGAAAGCAGCAAGAAAGCTGTCCAAAACAAAACCTAAGTCGCAAACGACTTTCACCTCCAATAAGATGGGTCTATTTTAGCTCTATTATCAAAATAATAAAGTGATTGGAAGTAGGGGTGGAGGGATGATCGCATTAGGAGTGGATCTTAGACTCTTAAGCCTCGTTTGGGACGGCTTTCTGACTGCCTCTTAAAGCAACTTTTTAGTACAAAAATTACTAGAAAGCTGCTTTAAGAAGTAGTAAGAAAGTCGTCCCAAACGAAGCCTTAGTCATTATGGAATAAGGGTGAAAGTGAAGCCTAAATTTATAGGAAATAGATCCGCGAAGAGTGAAGATAATAATTTTATGAACTTTAGGAAAAAACTATCTATAGAAGAAAGAGAAATGCATAATTCATTCATGATTGAAATAAGGTACAAATAATATTTTATGGACAACTCATCAATATTCTTATATAAAAAAAAGCCATCTAAGAACCACCTAAGAAAATATCCAAAGTATTAAATATCATATCATCCCATCTTATTTTCTATTAAAATACAACTACATACTTATAGTCATTATATAATAATTACAACAACAAAAAACATTCAATAAATTTCTTCAAAGGGCCAATCATATCCTATTTAAAAATTGAAATTTAAAATGGCATCCCATAATGCATCATTGGTGCAACTCTTTCTTAATTCAAGCTATGCATCAAATGATATATTATTATTTAATTTCAATTTTATAATTACTTCTAATAATTGGTATATCTCCCCCTTAGTTTAAGCCTTGCTTTAAGGGAAGAGCATTATTTAGTATAAAATTTTAAATTTTAAATTACATCTACTAATTAGTATACATTTTCTTTAACTAATTAGGCCTTGCATTATTATTTAATTTTTAATTTAAAATTATATTATTTGTGGACCTTCCTCCTTGATTCCAACTAGCTACAACTTTCTTAATTTCAAACCATTTCTTAATTTATAAAAATCAACTAATTAGGGAGGAAAGATAGGAAACCCCTTGGTCAAAATTATTATGCTTAGTAAAGTCATTTCAAAAGAGCAGAGGCATCATCCTTTTGTGAAGGAGAGCCAAAATGCTAAATTTCTTAAAATTCTTCTCATATCGCTAGGTCACGCTTGAATTTTTCACTGAATGACATAAAATCTTGATGATATCTTACTCAGACTTTACTTGGGACAACTTTCTTACTGCTTCTTAAAGCATTAAAGCATATATCTAAAACGTAAGAAAGCTATCACAAACAAAGCCTCAATATAATTATATTATTCCTTCATTAGTTGATAATATACAATTCTTCTCTTAATCAATGAAATTTATAGAAGATTGATATATAGTAGATATTTTTTTTTTTCATAAATATGATGACCTAAAATTTGTATCATTGTTCTATATTAACCTCTTTAATATAATTATGCTTCAACCCATCCTACTTTGCTATATATTTATTTTAGCATTATCATTTATTCAATTTGTCTTCTTTATCAATCAACACTATGTTAGTTCAAAGGTACACTAAAACAATAAAAGGAAAGCACCACCATCCAAATGTGAGTGGCTAAGATGATTTATGTGAACATATGAATATAAAATAAACATATCCATATGCAAGGCTCTATCTTATAAATTTAAAATTCTTGAGGCAAATTTATTTTGAAATCTTGCTTATATATATATAAAATGCTAATATATTTTAAATACATTTTATATTAATATTTTTTAAACAAGCTAACTCGTGACCTTATGAGTAGAATTAGGACGAGCTCATACTTGACTCATTAGGTTATCATGGCTTATCTCACTTACACCGCTATGTTAGTTAGGAAAAATTATTCTATGCGGAAGTTGAATTCCGTTCGAATAACTAAGCCCGCGGCTCAGTACCAGGCTCGATCGGTATCACTGATATGACTCATTCTGATTGTTATATGAATGTAAATCTATATTCAACATCTACACAGAATAATCTATCGTAAGTTAGGCACTCTCTGATTATTTGCTCTCTGAAATTGTTTTCAAACTGCCGTCCCTAGGCCGGTTCGCAATGTCCAAGTACCATCGCGAAGCATAATTACCCATGTGGCTAAGTCTTAAGGACTAAGGGTATTTCAGTAATAAACCAAAACATCAGGCGACACTGCAGTCCTCCCATTTCTGATACGGTAGCAAACATGCCAACAGCAACTCTTCGACTGTCTCGTTTCTACATATATTGATTAATTATATTCAAAAAAAAATATTCAAAAAATAAAAAAAAAAAGAATAAACAGAGCTTACTCAGTAACTCATATGTTATATTTATTTTTAAATAAACCTAATAAATAAAAAAGTTATAATAATTAAATTTAGATAATTTTCCCTCCAAAATAACATAAACGACAATGCACTCTCTTACGAAAGCAGTCGCATGCGACGGCTCCGCAGTTGAAGAGCTCAATAAAACCCTCTCCATTCCTCATTGGACATGGCCAAATTCTCTGAGTAATGTTCCTCTCACTTCTTCGTGCTCACCGGATCGTGGGAAACCCGCCGGCTTGCCCTTAATTTTGTTTTTTTTTTTTCTTTAATTACGAGAACTTTTGGTTAAACAGCGGAAATCCCCGCTGAAATTTCCAACAATTTTTGTTTTTTTTTTTAGATTTTCCATTGTAGTTTGGCTTAGGGTTTCGCCATTTTAGTGCCAGATTTAGGGAATCATCCCCTTCCTCTCCACCTCCTACACTTTATTTTCCATGTCTTCTCCGATTCCGACGGCGATGGCAACGTCGTATTGGTGCTACAGCTGCAGCCGCTTCGTTAGGGCTTCGCCCAGTGAATCCATCTCATGCCCCGACTGCCACGGCGGATTCCTTGAAGTGATCGGCAATGCTCTTCCGGCTCGTACCGGAGCTCCAAGCGGCGCTCTCCGCCGCAACCGCACAACTTCCTCCAGCGATGAGTCCTTCCCCACCGCTCGCCGTGTCGATTTGGGGTCTCGGCGTAACCGCCGTGCCTCCGTTGGCCACGGCTCTCCGTTCAATCCCGTCATTGTGCTCCGGGGCTCGGTTGCCGACGTTGACGCTTCGCACTCCAACGATGGTAGCAACAGTTTTGAGTTTTTCTATGATGATGGCGCAGGCACGGGACTCCGCCCGCTGCCCCAGAGCATGTCAAATTTTCTCATGGGATCCGGCTTTGATGAGCTTCTTGATCAATTGACGCAGATCGAAAACAGTCCTATGGGTGGTGGGAGGAGCTACGAGAACACTCCGGCATCAAAGTCGGCCATTGAATCATTACCCACAATTACGATCACTGATAACCACATCGTCACGGATTCCTACTGTGCAATTTGCACGGAGGCGCTAGAGCTCGGGGACGAAGCTCAGGAGCTTCCTTGCAAACATATCTTTCACCAAGATTGCATTCTTCCATGGCTGTCGTTGAAGAACTCTTGTCCTGTTTGCCGGCACGAACTGCCTACTGATGTTGAAAGAAGGGGCGGGGATGTTACAGGGCAGGCTTTGATGGGCAATGAGGATAACTCGGCTGGACTCACGATTTGGAGGCTTCCTGGTGGTGGTTTTGCGGTGGGTAGGTTTAATGGTGCCAGGAGGGCTGGAGACCGAGAGCTTCCCGTGGTTTACACTGAGACGAACAGTAGTTTAAGTTCCGTTGGAGTGCCAAGAAGGATTTTGTGGTCTTCCAGAAGGAGAAGATCAAGAGAACATCGAGGAGTTGGTCGAATGTTTCATAACTTCTTCTCCATGTTTCGCTGCTTTAGCCCTTCTTTGCCCTCTTTTTCGTCTTCAAGATTGAGATTGCCTTCTGCATCTGAAGAATCACAAAGTTAGAGTAGCACAACAGTGCTTGGTCGATTGGAGAACTGAATTGAGACAAGATCGAGAAGGAATACGTATGGATAAAGAAGAAAAATTGCCTTTTTTTATCTTTCTTTTCAGATTTGATGGTGTTTAAATAATACCAAGATTCAAATACCTTATTGCATACTTAGTTATCTTCAATTTTGTAAATAGAGAAGCAGATTCCCCCGTGGCTTCAGCGCTGTTGTGATTGATGTCATCGCGGTTTGATCAGAGTTTAAGATCTTGCAGGTGCATGAATTCTTAATATGTTAGTCTTCATGTTTATTTATCTCTTGTTAAAATTTCTTTATTTTGTATTTTGCTTATTGATTCTATATTGGATCCGTTATTTGAAATTTAAAATTTAAAATTTTATCTTCTGCTCTCTATCTTCCCTGATCTGTTTGAGATGAACTCCATTATTATCACACCCTTCTTATATCTATTTTAATTTTTTTTAATGAACTTTCATCAGTAAATGATCATATGAGAATTTTTGTGAAATATTATTGAAATTAAGATAAATCTGTGCAGAATTCTTCTGTTGATTGATTTGTCTAAAAATTAGTTTCTTATGGAATTAAGAGCTTTAAGATGGTGGTGAGACCTGCAATGTTTTATGGTGCCGAATGTTGGCCATTAAAAGAGAAGTATACTACTAAGTTAAGTGTTGAAGAGATGAGGATGCTCAGGTGGATGAGTGGCTTTACCCTTAGAGATACGATACGAAATGAACATATACGTGAAAAGGTCGTAGTAGCTCCAATGGAAGATAAGATTAGAGAGAGTCACCTTAGATGATTTGGTCACATAAAATATTGGCCTTCTGATGACCCGGTAAGGAAAGTAGAGGTAGACCTAAACAGACTTAGTTAGAAAATATCAGGAAATGATCTTTCTTTATTAGATTTAAACGAGAATTTGACTTTTAACATGACACAATGAAGAAAAAGGATTATTGTAGCCGACCCCACGTAGTCGGACAAAAGCTTGTTGTTGTTGTTGTATGGAATTTAGAGCGTTTTTGCTGAAAGAAACTGGCTGCCCCTATTGTATAATGAATACAACAGCCTCAATATCCAACCGATTGTTCTTCTATTGCCAACTATTGTCCGTAGTTGTTCAACAATTGGTTTGTTCATCCGACTTGAACTTCTGCAGTTTTCTACAGGCTGTTTCTGTTCTTTTGTTGGCCTAATTAACCAACCTTTTGTACAGCATTTATTCTTTTAAAATTTGTCAATTTATTGTTAGTTTTATTTTTGTTTAATCTTGTCATTAATGGGATGCTTAGGCTATACGTATATTTATACATTAATGACCATTGACGGTAGTTTTGTTTGCTGACATTGATGAATATCTCATTAACTAACCTTCTTTTAGGCTTACGAATTGGTCTTTGGTGTCCTTCTCAACTAAGCAGGAGGCTTGAGAAATAATTATGTTAGAGGGATGGTGAGATTAAGCTAACAACTTATTAATATTTTTTCCATTGCTTGATACAACAAATATGAAGATTTTCAGTAATTTTCTGGCCAAAATTAGAAGGGATTATGACTTTGTTTAGGACAATATTTTTATTACTTTCTAAAATAATTTTTTACTATAAAATTTTTATAAATTGCATTAATAATTATGGAAATTTGATTAGGATGAATTTTAAAAAATAATTCATTACTCATAAATTGCATTAAAATTCAGTCGAATTAAATTTTGATTAAGATGTGTCCATCTAATTTTCTCCTAATTTGTTTAGTGTGATGAGCTACATAGCTTAAACCAATAGTAGGGTTTGTTAATAGGAGGGAAAATAACCAAAAATAAATAAATAAATAAATAAATTTTAATATTCAATTATAAGGCATCCTTTGTAATAAATTTGGCCTTTTGTACTTATAAAAAATATTTTTAAAAAATAAAATTTAATGCGCCACTTATTATAGGAACGGACTCAGGAAGATCTCAGGTGGGCAATTACGCATTTTAAGTTTATTTGTGTGTTTTTTTAAGCTTTTTAAAGTTTTTTTTTTTTTTTTTTTTTAAATCACTATCATTCAGCAGAAATACGACAAGCAAAGCCAATATCCTTAGATGATTTACTATTTCTTATATTTTATGAATTAAAAAATTACTTTAAGAAAATCATTCTAAATGAAACCGAAGAAATCTTCTCCTGCGTGGAACGCTAGATTTTCCTAACTACTCAAAAAAAAAAAAAGGTATAAAATAATTAATCACATTTTTTTAATAATATGTAATAAAATATGAATTATTCTGTTCATTCAGAAAAAAGTTAGCAAATAGACAATAAGTATGTCAAGAATGGGATTCGAACCCATGCCCTTTCGGACCAGTACCTGAAACTGGCGCCTTAGACCAACTCGGCCATCTTGACTGCGCTTTTAGAAGGTGGTTTTCTAATTTATATTCAAATTTCCTTGCCGGAGCATATCATTTGTTTACATATCTAACACTCAAAATTTTAATATTACATACATACCATCATATACTATTTTAATATCAAATATGCCACTCATATTTCTTTCCTACCACTCATATTTGATATAAAAATGAACTATGGGTTGTATGTAAGTAATATTAAAGTTTTAGGTGTTAAATATGTAAATAGAATAATATAGAGTAGTATACATGTAAGAAAATTCTTAGAACTACAACATCACTTATTTAACATTGAGATTTCTATTTTCTTAGCATGAAATTCTACCAATAAAAGAGACTTTATGAACATAGATCTCAATGTTGAAATATTTTTTCTAAGTATGTTTTTGTATAGGGGTGTCAATATTGGACACGGCCCAAAAATTCGACTCTAACCAGACATGAAAATTTTAGGTTCGGGCAGCCGGGGCAGGCAACGTGGGGCTGGGGGCAAGCAACACTGGGCTGCGGGCAGCCGGGGCAGCTGGGGAATATGGGTTTTCCGGGTCATTCCCGGGTTTCCAGGTCAACCCGAACCCAACCCTGTTTTGTAAACGGGTCAGTTTTCTAGACTCGAACCTGACCCGCTTCTGGTTCGGGTCAACCTAAACCCAAAATTTTCAGGTCAGATTTTCGGGTCGGGTCCATTATTGACAGGTCTAAACAAGACATAGTATAGCATTATTTCGGGTCGGGTCCATTATTGACAGGTCTAAACAAAAGACAGTATAGCATTATTTCATACAAAAAGAGAGTATCCCTTTGATCATTTTCTTTGTTGTTGATTGAGAGAATGGAATACTGTTTGCTGATGGAGGAGCTTAGTGTCAGTGATTAGGACCTTGATAAGAAACCTTCTGTGGGAGTTAATACTTCTTTTATTCTTTTTGAGCTAAAATTATTCTTAAACTTATCATCTTTGATAAACATTTATAAAGTGTAGGCAGATTTTACTTTAAAGTTTTGAATGGTAAATTTTACTTAAATAATTTAAATTTTATTAAAATTTTCATATATTTTATTAGAATTTATGCCCAAAATAATTAATTTTAAAATTAAGGAACTTTTTTTAAAATAAGCCGCATAGCATTCTCAAACTTTACATACGAGTAGTGTTGCGTCCTGAAAAATTCGCGGCGGTAGAGAAATATAAAGATTAATGTCTTAAAACACCGCAAAAATTAAAAGAAAAAATAATATATTTCTTTTACATTGCATTCTTTTTTCCTCTTACCAAACAACCCCTTAAGCAATATAATACAAAATCTTCCTATGATGTTGGACTAAATATATGTAGCTTATTATTCAAGTAAAAATTATTGCATTGTTCATCTCTTTTATTAAATTTTCACGTGAAAAGAAAAGGCCATCCCGAGTTCTTAATTAGTTTTTTTAATTAATTATATATTTTTTAATTCTAAATACATATTTATTTACTTAATAATATTTATTTATTTAAACTATTTTATTGATAAAGAGTATAGATTAATTTTAAATTAGATTTTTATTCTATATAATTTAAATTTATTATAATTTTTTTTATAAATTTATATTAGGTATTATAACTTGAATCATTAATATTTTTAATATTAATTTATTTACATAATAAGTTTATCCACCTTCAAAAAGAAGAAGCTAATTTCGCTTTGAAATAATACATCATTTGGCATAATTTTGGCCCCCTCACAATCCCGAAATTGCACATTACAAATTCATTGAAGGCCATAGATGTACACAATCAATTAAATTAAAAAAAAGATAACTATTTCACCATATTGAATTGTTATCAAACCCACAAGAAGAGGTTAAAATTACTTAATACAAACCATGGAAAAATTTTAAATTTAGATTTTGTTTGAGACAACTTTTTTATTGCTTTTTAAAATTGAAATTTTAGTAAAAAATTTTAAAAAGCTATAAAAAAATCGTCCCAAACGAAACCTTAAAGATACCAAAAGATATATGATGAACTTTCCCATCTCTTCAAATATGAATATAAAGTTGCCAAACTAGAAAATCAGTCGAGGCAAACTTCAGCTTCATTTGGGACGGCTTTCTTACTGTTTGTGGAGGAACTTTTTAGCATAAAATTTTTATTTTTTGTGCTAGAAAACTACTTTAAGAAGCAGTAAGAAAGCTGTCCCAAACGAAACCATCCTTTGCAACTATACCATAACGTATAAATTCTTATAACTTTCTAGTGCATATGGCCAACAATATTTATTGCTTATAGTTCAAAAATCAAATCCCACAGATAAAGAGGAAGTAACCAAAAAAAAAGGAACAGAACCATTATACCTACTTACTTCCCCTTCCCTTTGCCTTTTCCATGCTTTTTCTTAGCGTCTAACTTGGCCTGAACTCGAGCAGCAGCAGCAGCTTTTGCTTCTTCCCTCTTTTTCTTCTCATCTTCCTTCAATGCTGCAGTACTCTCCCTCTGTTTCTTCAATTCTCTACGATAATAACATGCAAGTATGGCTTTATGATGCAATGAGATTAATAAGATTAATAAATTTATATTCCAAATTAAAATATCATGGAACTTTTCAAGAAAATTTAAGCTTTAATGGTGGTGACATTAATATGTAGTCAAAATCCATATTTGTTTCGTTCCTTGTTCTACCTAAGGTTTTGCAAGTGAACAACAAACGGGGAGTTGCAGAAAGAGATCCCCACTTACTCGAGTCTAGCTTTTTCATCTGAAACACTACCAAGGCTTGCACCTTTTCTAGGCCTGCATGCAACAAGCTCCACCTCAAACGTAAGTGTCGCACTGCACTCTCAAAAAAGTTTGAAATTATTATGTGCGATGTCCGGACCATCCGGACGCAAATCCAGACGCGCCACATCACCCGGATGCACTGACCCCGGGTGACGTTACACGTCCGGATTTTCTTCCGAACAAATCCGAACGCCGCACGTAATAATTTTTCCAAAAAAGCATCTATAGTTAGTCCAACTGCTCCAATAAATTGATTTCTATCTCAAAATAATATTTGTTTGAAGCAATTTAGGTTATATGACAAGGAAAAAATCTGCAACCAGACAGAAGGCAGTGAAGCGGTTATCTTACTCTGGAGGTATCTCTGGAGGAGAACCAGCACTTCCATAGGCATATTCCGGCTTGCAAGTAATTTTCGCAATCTCCCCAATCTTTAAGGAATGAAAGATTCAATATTTATAAACAAATTTAGAAGCAGCAGTAGTTGTCGTGGTGTTGAAGTCAGAAGGAATGAAAATTTATGGTTACCTTCATAGTTCTCAAGGCTATGTCCCAAGACTTGATCACAGTGCCCGCTCCAAGCTCAAATGTAAAAATTGAGTTGTCTTCACGAGTGGTATCAAAAACCTCACCAGTTTCAGCAAGAACTCCTTCATAACGAACTGTTAAAAGATTTTTGTATAAATTCTGTAAAATGGCTAAGAAAATCAATTAAACTAATAGTGCAATACTTGAAATGGGAAACTTCAGAGAGTGGATGTAGGTCGTGTTTGACCGAACCACTAGAAATCTTTGTGTCTTTTTATTTCCGCTGCTTTAATTTCTGTCATTTTATTTTTTGTGGTTGAAAAATTACTTTTGAAAATTCTAAAAACAACCTGCTCAGTTTGTTAAAACGGTTTCGAACTTTTAAATTCCAATAAGAGGCAAATTTTTAAAAGTATCAATTCACCTCCCTCTTGGTTAGTCTTTGGGACATAAGCTTAGGTCTAACAACTTAACTCATATTCACAAGTTTCAACATGGTTACCTATAGGTGAATTCAGATCACAAAAGGAAAATGAACCGTCAATTTTTCTAGGGATATAAGAGGAAAAGACTACTTGCGTTTTTAGTATGCACGCAGGCCTGCTAGTAAAAGTTTAGAAGTGTATAGGTTTGTTGAGTTGCTCAGCCTGAGAAGACCCTGTTAAAATATTTAATAGCCATAAAAGAGTGTGAGAGACAAGATGAAAGACCTGAGAAGACAAGATGGGGCTTTTGCAAAAGGGGTTTACTCATCCAGGCTTGAAATAATTTATCAAATTCTTGGTTGAAACAGCATTAGATTCCCAATTTCACAAAAAGCCTTCTTGATTCTAATTTTGCCCAGTTGCTTTCGCTCATTATCAGCATTTCTCTATAAGCCTTACTAAATCAATTCTTTTGTTGGAAGTTAGTTTATAACAACAATCAAATCCAACTGACAAGGTCATGCGAGGATATAATACAAAAGAAGATAAATATATTAAGCTTCAAAGGGCAATTCTTTTAATTAAATGTTCTACAAAGGCTACTGGTAAATTAGCACAGAAAAAAAAGAAAATCTAATAAAAGAAGCATACTTGTCAAGTATTTTTTATTCGGAATCAATCAACATGAATAGATGGTAATATATCAATTAAAAATAAGAACTATAAGAACCAATCAAGATGAAAACTTTAAAAAAAGAAATATCAATAATTATATTAATGAGAATTTCTAAGCTAAAAAGAAAATTAATGATGAAATGTTCCTTCTATAGTTATTTATACATCTAATATGATTGTATAATCATTCTAAGGTTCATTCCTATTCAACCTATAGACTAATGGCTGAGGTAGGACTTTCAGCAAGGCTACATTAAGAAAAAAAACTTGTAGAATGATCTAGCTAAGATGATAGAATTTTGAAATTAAATTAATAAGGAGACATGGAAATTTTCTAATAGTAAGCTAGATGGCTAAGTAAGAAAACTGTTCATTTTTTAATGAATGAGAATGGAAATTGCAAGGCCAAACTCATTTTGAATGGTAACTTGAGCTAACATCAATGATGTTAGGGGTGTCAATATTTGACACGACACGAAAATCCGACCCGAATCCGACCTAGAAATTTTGGGTTTAGGTCAACCCGAACCCCAACTGGGTTGGGTTTGGGTTAGGGATTTCAACCACCCGTTTGTAAAATCGGTTCGGGTTGACCAGAAAATCCGAACTCAACTCGGATTGATATGTTTTTAATTAATTTTAGAGGGTTTAAAAGAGTGTTATGAAATAAGTAAATGTTATTTAAAAAAAAAAAAAAATCATGTTGCCCAAACCGAACTAAGCTATGTTTATTTTAAATTGATTGAAGTAAATCTTACCTTAATTTGATTCAGATTTAAATAAATTGAATTAAATAAAAAAATAAAACATATATACCGAAGCTGGTCGGGTTTGGATCTGAAAAATCGACTCGTTTGCAAAAGTGGGTCGAGTTTGGGTCTAATCGAGCAGTGCCGGTTCAGTTCAGGGATGACATTGAATCCGACCTATGACCTGATTTTGACAGCCCTAAATGATGTTAATATTTTTTATGTCAATAGTTGTGTCACCTTCACTTTTAGGTGCAGGCCGGGTCATCTCAGCCATTCTTAATGGATTTTCCATCATTTTAATATTACTTTGCTCATTGCCGTAAGGTTGTACTACATTCACTTCCGAAAGGATAGCCATTCTGACCATCATGTACGTGTAACCTCTAGAACTTTCAATCTAGCTTTATTCATTTCCCATGCATGATCATATAATGTTCACTTCTAGATGGAAGACCTCCTTGCATTACTTAGTGATCTTCCTGATACTTAAATTAATTTTAAAAAAAATCTATTTTTCACGTAGCAATTTTACAATATTTTTGCAAGCACTTGCAATTATCACAAACAAACTAAAATTCATTACACAGTTAACCTCAATAGGAAATTGATCCTTATTGATTGAGTCTGTCCAAATTGAGCTTTCATTTGATCTAAAATAAAAAATCCAAACCCAAATCAAGGCCAAGCTGCTTGAACTGGTCATGTTATCACCCCTACCTACATTTCAGACATATTGACATTTAAACCCAGAAACTGGCAACAATTTTTTTTAAGCACTGAAGTTAGTCTAATTTAATATCACCACAGAATAAACAAACTATTGAGAAAAAAAGGAGCTAGACGAGTGGACTTCATATACAGATGTAATTATTAATGCTACAGGTCACATGGGCTACACAAAACACTCTTTTCTGCGCCACTACTCTGACCGTTAACGATCTCTGTCACTGTAGCCATATATGCTCTGCTTCGGTCTTATATACCGCGAGCACCTCAATAGAAACGATGAGCATTTCTACTCAATTTACTGTTCATCTTCTTCTAACCATGTCTCTGCAGGAATCTCTTCATGGTATCAGAGCACACTAAGCTTCACCGCAATCCTCATCGTCCTCAATGGCGGATCAAGGAAGCTCGTCTCAGACTCAATCATCCTCTCATCCAAGCACGACATCTCTATCAGCCACGATGGCCGATTTCACAGTGCCTCCACCCCTCAAATTTCTTATGTCCAATCTCAAACTGCTGGTGCACACTCAACTCACAGTGGAGAACTACGCCATATGGAGGTTACAGATTCATCAAGCATTCTCAGCCAATGGGTTCGAAAGCTACCTCACCGAGCTCCGTCCCACCCTCCGACCAGAAACTGTGGAAATTAATAGATCAGAATCTTGTATCTGCTCTATTTTCCACAATATCTCCCTCGGTCCTGCTCTACATTCTTCATCTTAAAAACTCTCACGACATCTGGAACACACTGGAACTCCAACTGCAACCTTCCAATCGTTCGCGCGTCCTCCAGCTGAAGAACGAGCTACACAATGTTCAGATGCGTGATCAAACCATTCCCCAATATCTTGCTCAAATCAAATCTCTAGTGGACAACATTGCTGCGGCCGGATCGCATATAGAAACCGAGGATGTCATCTTATACACCTTGAAGGGCTTAGCGATCCGAATCTCACCTCACGATATCTCTGGAATCCTTATACTCTCTGCTATGCAGCGAGGAAGTTAACCTTCAGTCCGAACTCCAGCAAGATACGACTTCAACCGGTGATGTTCAAGCTTTATACTTGTCCAGGGGACGAGGAAAACCTTCAACACCTCGCAGCACCAGGGGCCGCGGAACTCCTTCTAGTTCCACTGCAACTATGAACAGGGCTTCGTATTCTAAAGAACAAATTCAGCAGCAAACGAATCGCCCCTCCCCGAGACCAACATGCCAGATCTGTGGAAAATCTGGGCATTCGGCCTTATCGTGCTGGCACCGATACAACTCCAATTACAGCTCGCCACTGGTCTCCAATACAAGAGCTTATCTTACCCCATCTCAGAACACCACCAGCAATGAGTGGATACTTGACTCAGGGGCCTCTGCTCATCTCACACCCGACGTTCTACACATACCGTAACCAACATCCTATCAGGGCTCAGATTCCGTCTCTACAGCGAGTGGATCATCACTTCCCATCCATCATAGTGGCTCGGGTAAACTTCCTCTCCCAGAAACAAATCGTAAGTTAAAACTCACTCGTCTCCTTAATGTTCCTTCAATATCACACAATCTATTATCTATATCCAAGCTTGTCACTGACAATCAATGTTCCGTATCATTCGATCCTGGTAGATTTGTCATCAAGGACCTACGGGACAACACAATTCTTCACCGTGGCCATAGTCAAGACGGAATCTATCCACTCAAAGCCCTCCACACCACAACATCTCCAGCCACACCAACTTCAGCTTCGATATGGCACGCTCGCCTCGGTCATGCTCATCCCCGTGCAATGGCCGCTCTATCTACACTTCTTCCAGAATTAAAGAAATGTTCTCTTTCTTTTGTCTGCACTTCGTGTAATGTGGCCAAGAGCCACCGTCTTTCTTTTCCAAAACAAGCAAACCATGTATCTACTCCATTTAGTCTAATACACTCAGATGTTTGGGGTCCTTCCCCTGTCTCTTATTTAACCGGTTATCGTTATTATTCTGTGTTTATCGATGATGCCACACGCTATTGCTGGGTTTACTTAATGCATACTAAGAATGAAACTTACTTAAAATTTAAACAATTTCTTGCAATGGTCACAACTCAATTCAAAGCAACCATACAAATCTTTCGCTCGGATGCCGGTGGAGAATACACAAGTCACGAATTCAAAAACCTTCTCCAAACCCACGGCATTCAACATCAATTCAGCTGTCCAAACACTCCTTAGCAGAACGGTGTCTCTGAAAGGAAGCATCGCCATCTTCTAGAAACCACGCGCACTCTTCTACACGCTGCACATCTCCCTTTTTGTTTCTGGGCAGAAGCTCTCCAGACCTCTAACTACCTCATAAACCGGCTTCCTACGTCTGCGTTAAACTCTCAGATCCCGTTCATTCTTCTCCACGGCAGACCGCCTCAATACGATCACCTCAAATTGTTTGGTTGCTTATGCTTCCCATGGCTACAACATTAATCACCTCACAAACTTGTCCCTAGATCCTCACCTTGCATCTTTCTTGGCTACTCCCCTCAACACAAAGGATATCAATGCTATAACACTCAAACTCACAAACTTCATATTTCCCGCCATGTACGTTTCTATGAACATCTACAACCATACAAGGAACCTCTCACAAACCTTCCCAACCCACAATCCGACACATACATCCCTCCAATGCTTCTAACTCCCAGCTCTATACATCAGACATTCAACTCCATCCCTCCTTCCTCTACCAACTCTCCCTCAAACACTACTGAACCTCCTTACCCAACTCAACCTATCACCACATCTTCCACCCCAACTCAACCTATCACCACATCTTCCACCGACATCCAACCTTTACCAACCACAACCATTCTTCCCACACACTCTATGGCTACCCGATCTAAAACAGGTAATTCTAGGCCGAAGAAAGTGTATGATCTACTTGTTGTAGCTGACTCTGCGCTCCCTCCTACATCCTACACAGCGGCGTCCAAGGATCCTTCTTGGCAAGCAGCTATGTCCGAAGAAATTGAAGCTCTGCTCAAACAGAGGACCTGGTCCCTCACTCCATCTCCACCAGGTAGTCCAGTTCTCGGCTGCCGCTGGACCTACAAAATCAAAACCAATCCAGACGGGACTGTTAACAGATACAAAGCAAGATTTGTTGCTCAAGGCTTTACACAGCAATACAGAGTAAATTACAAAGACACCTTCAGCCCTGTCGCCAAAATGCCCACAATCTGACTTCTCCTCATCATTGCCATTCACCATCAATGGCCCCTGCTACAATTCAACCTAGCAAATGCGTTTCTCCACGGCGAACTCCATGAGGAAGTATATATGAAACAACCCCAAGGCTTTGTCGACCGGGCTCATCCAAATCATGTCTGCCGTTTACACAAGGTCCTCTATGGCCTAAAACAGGCTCCCCGGCAGTGGTTTCGCAAGCTCACAGAGTTCCTCCTTCATTTCGGTTTTCAATTCAGTCGGGCAGATCCCTCACTACTTGTCTACAACCGAACCACCACTCAGCTCTACCTACTCATCTATGTTGATGACCTTCTCCTCACGGGCAACGACTCATCAATCATCAATTCTCTCCTACAACAACTCCAAGCTAACTTCGATCTAAAGCAGCTCGGTCAAGCCAGCCTATTTCTCGGCATTCAAATCACATACACTGCTACAGGCGCATTCCTCCATCAATCGCATTATGCTCGCGATATACTCACTGCAGCCGGTCTCCAAGACAGCAAACCAGCCAGCACACCTATCTCCCCCTCCAGAACCAGAACTGCACCTCTTCTCAAACCATACGACAATCTAAGACAGCAAACCAGCTCGCAGGCTCCTTACACTACCTCACTGTAACCAGACCTGATTTATCCTTTGCTGTCAATACAATCTGTCAAAGTATGCATAATCCGACCATCCATGATTACACACGACTCAAACGGCTTCTCCGCTACGTCAATGGCACCCAGCACCTTGGTCTACCCATCACCAGAGGCTCTCTAGAACTCACTACATATTGTGACGCCGACTGGGCTTCGGACGCCACCGACCGGAAATCAATCACCGGATTTTGTACCTTTCTCGGCAACAACATTCTCTCGTGGAGCGTTAAGAAGCAAACTACGGTAGAAAAATCCTCCACTGAAGCCGAATACAGGGCTCTTGCCGCCGCTCTCTCGGATGTCATCTGGCTGCGCCGCCTACTTCTGGACTTCCAGATACCTCTCGACAAACCGACCACCATCTTTTGTGACAATGCCTCTGCACTGTCCCTCGCTCAAAACCCCGTGTTTCATGCACAGACCAAACATATTGAAATTGATCATCATTTCCTCAGTGATCACATACAGAAGTAGACAATCACAGCAACTCATCTCAACTCCGAAGATCAAATCGCCGACATTCTGACGAAGCCGCTCCCCACAACTCGCTTCATCACTCTCAGGAACAAACTAACCATCAGTGCCTTAGATCGTTAGCTTGAGGGGGGATATACAGATGTAATTATTAATGCTACAGGTCACATGGGCTACACAAAACACTCCTTTCTGCGCCACTACTCTGACCGTTAACGGTCTCTGTCACTGTAACCATATATGCTCCACTTCGGTCTTATATACCGCGAGCACCTCAATAGAAACGATGAGCATTTCTACTCAATTTATTGTTCATCTTCTTCTAACCATGTCTCTGCAGGAATCTCTTCACTTCAAAGATCTTAAAAAATGTACCATCCTGCCAATATTAGCATGGCAGTCTTAATCGGCTTGTCTTGTACCAATGTGCAACAAACACAAGCATTCATGCTGACTTTTTTGTCTTTGATAAACTACAAACCACAAACATTGTGAAGAAACACGCAAAAGGATATTAAAGTATTATTAGTCACGTAATGTAGAGAAAAATAAAGTTCAAGTGGCTTAAAAGGAGAGATTCAACTTAAATGGGTCCAAGGATGCGCCAACAAATGAAAATAATTGTATTGCACAAGACAGAATAACCATAGTTATGTAGAATGCCAAATCACGAACTCATTTCAATTATCAACTCTACGTGGCATTTTTACTCTAGCCTATGCTACTTAGCCCAACTTTGTTTGGCAAGAAAATTTAGTCACCAGAATCATTATGATAATCCTTGGCCATGTCAAGGAGAGATTAGGGAAAAAACCTAAGTTAGCCAGTGCCCTCCCAATTACTACAAAAAATATTCCTAAGACCACAATATGAGAAGGATTAAAATGGTCCCTCAATTTTTTGTAAGGGACCAAAATGATCCTCGACTCTTTTGAGGGGCCAATTTGGTCCCTAAACTCCTTAAAAAGGGGTATTCTTTGTACTACCATCAAATTTTGGGATTAATGATGCTAAATCAAAGGGCATTTTAGTAAATTTTTAATTAAATTATTTATTAAATTTTTTTGGATTAGTGGCAAAAGGTTTACATCTAAACCAAAAGTATCGTGTCTTGACGAAGCCTGTTCTTAGGGTTACTAATGCTCTTTAGTTATAGAAGACTAATCAATGCTTCTAATTTACATTGCATTACTACATCACAAACCATCAGGTAAGCTTGAAAAATGCAACAGAGAACCTAGAACACAACTTGGCGAATATTGCAAAGGGAACTTCTAGTGGCATGCTAAAAATTCATCCAACTGATATTCATTGAATTGGAATTAACAACTGCTATTTGATGGCATCATCCAAATTAAGAAAAGCTATATAGGAAGCCAAAAGAGAATACCATCTGTACCATGAAATCTACAAGGCAAGGATAGGCTTTGTTTGACTTTTCCTAATTTCACTAGCTTAGTCTTGCTAATCCCAAACTAAAGCTGCCCCAGCTCAAATTTTAAGCTGAAGTTCCATGCAATTAATCATAATGCACACCAGAAGCAGCATCAGAAAATCAATGGGTAACAGTTAGAGAAGCAACTCCCACAAATGGCATAAGATTTGTAAATGGTTCTGATAAGATATAAGCTTTGTTTGGGTGACCGTTCCAGTGAAAAAACACTGATTTGGGGTAGAGAAAACCGCTTTATGGTCGAGCAGGTGGGCAGGATTGCTAGCCACCCATATGCCATCATTGTCCTATGCTTGACACTTTACACTGTCGTATGCAAGGCATTTAGCATGCAAATGACATGCACATGACGCCTCCCACTATCACACACAGAGAGTCCCAGCAAACAAACCCATAGGAAAATGTTGGCTAGGACATAACACATAAGAGTGCACCATATCTTAATATCAATTTTGATGACAAGTAGGTAATGCTGATTAAGTTTAAAATACAGCTTATATTTGTTATATGAAACTTAAGGATCTTGAATGGGAAAAGAAAAGAGTTGAACTCACCAAAAAAAAAAAAGAATGAATAACACTCATTGACTAGTAAAATTCATATGAGAAAAATCTAAAGAAATTCAGAAAATTATAAGAGTGGTTGTACGTTGGATGATTAACAATAAGAATGGAATTGAGGTAATTGACAAACTAGGGATAGAGATAAAATGAGAGCTATCATATAGGGGTATTATATATGGGAAAAAGGGTTAATGCTTCTTAATTTAGATTAGAAGAAAGCTTGGAAAGTCAGTTATGGGAAGAAATGGAAAGCCTAATATAACATATACCTAAGAAAGAGGAGATAAATCATGGTAGTGATTGCAAGTTAAAGAGTCTCTTAGGATAAAGCATGGTGGTGTTTGCAATTTAGAGAGTCATGAGAGATATTACGGTAGTTAGAATAATGATTAAATTTGATCAAAATGCCAATGTGGTACCACAAAGTGGAGGAAAGAGAAAAAATTTCTATTAAAATCAATCACAAAAAAAAAAAAAAAAGATGTACAACATTATGACGAGTATAGGAGAATTAAACTCATGGGTCATATAACAATGCTTGGAAGAGAATACTAGAAAATGGACTTAAAAAGCATTCATATTGGAGAATTTGTTTCATTTATGTCAATATGATCAATGATAAATGTGACTTTTATGCTAAATAAATTAGATAAAAGGTGCATAGAGAAATGAAATAATCTTCATATGATTTGCAATGATTTTAAAAAGGCATATAACTGACCAGCACTAGGATTGAATATATAGCCATAAATAGAAAATTTATTTCAAAGTTATTTTGAAACTACAATGTTGATGAAGCAACAATTAGCATTACAAGTAACAGGAAAAAGGGTTTCCAAATATGATAAGATTACATTAAGGATCAACATTACGTTCATATTATTCTATATTGATTACAAAGATGCCTACTTGAGAAATTTAATTGAGGAACTATCCTGGTGTATTCTATTTTAAATTGAAAAAAAAAAAATTTGAAAGGTTTGACAATTTTTAAATAAGAGAATTTTGGAATAGTTGAGAAAATTGATCGAACATATACTGCTTAGAATTAGTAGACCAAAATTTTAGTGAATGATATGATATTCAATCTATGTGAAATGGATAATGAATAATGAATAATTAATATTATTGGAAGATCAAGAAAGCCTACATGTAAAAAAAATGAAAAGAAAACCTACATGTGATAAGTTTAAGTACCTTAGAAGGAAAGCTATATGGATAAAACAATGAATTTTCGAAAAATGCTATTCAAATAAGACAATACTATGAGGAATTAAAAGAAATTTTATAAAGCTACGTCGTTCTAAAATATGTTCTACAGATTTAAAGGTTTATTAACAAAGAAGTCACAAAAATCAAGTTGAGTATGATTGAGTTAAGAATGTTATGATGAATATGCGGTAAATCTTGAACATATGACTGCGAAATAAGCATATTACAAATATCATATTATTAACACCTATTGAAAACAAGTTAGTAAAAAATCAATCTGATTTATTTGAACATGTACAATGATAGGCAAAAGAAGCACAAAAGAGGTGAGTGGATGGATTGCAAAAGGATTAAAAGGAAAAATAATAAACCAAAGGTAAAATATTGAAAATTTATGCAAAAAGCTCAAGGAAAATAAATTACCATTAGCACATGGAGAAGGATTCACAAGCAAATCAAGCGTGACTAGAGAGAATTGTTTACATCCTCAGGTAGGGAAAAATGTAACCTGTTCAGACTCACAAAACTAGAGTATAGAACCTCATAACTATGTCCTTCACTTGTCCATAAAATACTCTCATTCAACAACATAAAAGAAAAACCTACCAACGTGATCTAAACTTTTGCGACGTTTAGAATTTTGAAGAGAGTGAGAACTGTAATTCAAAAAAACATCCACAGTCAGACCAAGGTGAGATTCAAGCATGAATCGACAAAATTTACATATTTCCTCTAAATATTAAGAGAGCTGGGTACTGGTAGCAATCATTTTCGTTGTAAATTACTGGATGCCACATCAATTCAACATTTTGTGCGCCCTACTTTCATTTTTCTCCCTTTCTTCGCAGTCTAAATTCTCTTCATCTCCTCCAGCAAAAATCTCACAATTTTGATGCCTCCGTAGCATTCACAAACTAACGGAAATGACAAGATGACCAAGAAAAAAGATTGCAATAAACTGAAAGAATTTACCTAAGCTGAACTGCCAGATAACCCTTAGCCAGCTCCGGTAATCTTGATCTTCTCTTTGCCGGTCCCTCTCTGCCCCTTCGCGATCAATGCTTTAGGTCAAGTAGATCAGGGAAAAGAAAATACCCAACCGATCGAGAACAATTATTACGTCCTCCCACCGGACCCGGACGCAAGAGGAACGTCGTCGGAGGTCAAATCCCGCCAAAAAAATAGTTATACCGAGGAAATACCGAGTAATACGAATACCATCATTTAAAGACTCAATATCGAGTTATACCGAGCTAAATCGAGAAATACTGAGTTATACAAAAGTTGTACCGAGTTTTTCTAGGAAAAACTCAGTACAACTCGGTATTTCTCGGTACAGCTCGGTATAACTCGGTATTGGTCTTCAAAGAGCAGTATTTCTTGTTAATATCAAATAATACCTAGTTGTACCAAGCAAATACCGAGTTTTTTTTGCAGGATTTTGCCTCCAATCGGACGTTCCTCTACGTCCTTACACCGGACGTAATAAAAGTTCACCGATCGAAGCGTTCGTAGTTTAGCTAACTTTCCTACGAAATAAATTCAAAAAAGCTCTGTTTATCCAAGCAAAATTTTGACTAAACCGATTTTTAAATGATTAAAGTTATTATTGCTACATCATGAAATATTCGAGGCGGCAGATAAATATAAAATTTAGCATCTTATTTTTATATCAAAATTCAACACACATATAAATAAATAAATGGGTGAGTAACATTCATAAGGGACACTAGAATTTTAAAGTGCAAACACCTTAAAAAGGGAGAAAACCA